GAGTAATGCCGTCCTCGTGCTGTGCCGTGGGTTGTCAGAATAGAAAGAGCACACACAGAGATCTAGTTTTTTATAGCATTCCTGCTGGTAAACACCCCTTTCAGAAAAAACGTGAGCACAACAGTTGGACGCCCTCAGCGGCTTCTTAAAGAAGCCGCATTGCTTCCCCTTGGCAGTGCGAACAGCCTCTGCCCCAGCCCGCTCTTCACCTCCACCTGGAGCCCCCCTTGCCCTCCTGAGACGTTCCGGCTCAGTCAGGGCCAGTCCCATCTCAGTCAGAAAAAGTCTCCATTTGTACAGTTTTTTTTTTCATTCCATTTTGGGTTCATGGATGTGATCAAAATAAAAGCATTAAAACAAGAAACATCAACCATATGGTAAAAAAGGCACATGGGCCACCTTTGTGTTCGCCTCCGGGTTGTGTAGGCAACATTTAAATATATTGAAATTATTCAAGTCTTTCAGTTTTTGTAAGACTTCTACTGTTTAAGTGTATCCCTGAAAGTGCATTTTCCAGTTCTACATTTGTGTTGAATTGTTCGTCCATGTAATAGATCAGTTTCATGTGACGCATGCATTAAGTCTGGCTGCACTCGCATCTTGGAGGCAGAAAACACGCTTGCGAGTCGTAATAGTCTCTCGCTTAACAGAACAAAATCGTGTGAGTAATGCCGTCCTCGTGCTGTGCCGTGGGTTGTCAGAATAGAAAGAGCACACACAGAGATCTAGTTTTTTATAGCATTCCTGCTGGTAAACACCCCTTTCAGAAAAAACGGCGAAAGTTATGGTTACAAGCTTTACGACGTGAGAATTGGAGTTTGGAGGCAATGCTCATCTTTGCAGTGCTCACTTCATATCTAGTAAGTAATTGGGAGTTACATCTACCATGTCAAATTATATTCTATGTTGTGAAAGCCCAGAATAATGTTCAATATGTGAAAGTAACAAATGAGTGAAATTAATGAAGTATAGCATGAGTGAAGCAGTTATGTAGTCTTTACAGTCAAATGTGTTTGCAATTTGTGTGTGAAGTAACTCTTCAATGCTTCATGCACATGTTAAACACAAACGTATTGTTTAATGATCCTTTCATTTTATATTGCAAGGCAGTTTAATAATCGAATTAGATTGTCCATGATTGAAATTTGAATACACTTACCCTGCCATGCATGTGCAGTTCGCTGTCAGTATGGAGCTGGTCTTCTTGTTCACACATACACAGGCCTAATAACACTGAGACTTTTGTCCCTGTCTTTGACTGGGCAAGACCTCCGCTTTCAGGAAACAATAGTCGGAGTTTTCAGGAGCTTGATGAAAAAGAACCGACTGAACATGAGCACATACCACGTAATTAGAAGCATCAAGACTGTTGCACGCTTTGAGAGTCTCTTGCGTGAAGACGCTTGGGGTATTCATCAAGTACATGTAAATGTTTGGAAACTCCAAACTAGGCCAGCGTGACGTGTCATTCAGCCACTCACTGGCAGAGAGTGAGTAAGGATCAGGTAGCTGAACCCCTGATGTCAGTGTTAGCTTATTCAAATAAGCTTCTTTATCAGCTTTGTCAAGGCTTTGTAAATAGCTATTGACCTGCAGCGGTGCGTGAGCGGACATTGTTCACCGACTAGTGCTTTTGCCTCCTAGATGCGCGCACATCTTCATGACGTCACTGTTGTTTGCAAACATTTTGAAATGCTGTGATTATTATGAAAGAAATGATTTTCAGGGTCCAAATTGTTCTGTTGAGTTTATTGTCAGGTGGTGAACAGTTCTCAGCATGCCGCTTGATTGTGTTGAACTCGAGCCTGTTGTGTTGGAGTACTGGTGCGGGGATAGAGTATAAGTGCCTCAAGTAGTCAATTTCCCCTCTGTCACGTGCAGCTTTTAATTTTGGGAGGAGTTATTTTCTTTTTTGACGTACGGCATCTGTAAAGTTTTCATTAATGTTGATTTTGGAGCCTTTTTTTCCTTGTTCTGTCCTTGTATTTTTCAAATCTCACCACAACTAGCCTCGGTCGAGGTCTCCCAGGTTCGTGCCTTCCAGTGAGGTGAGCTTTCTCCACCTCAATTGTCCCGTGTATCTGCAGCTTCTTCTTGAAATTTTTTTTGCCCTTTTCCCTCTGTTTCAATCCACGTTTCTCGTAGTGTTTCCTCTATTCCATCAATGACAAAGTTGTTTCTTTTTGACTGGCCCTCCAAGTAGTCCATCTTGTCTGTTAATACTAGCAGGCTGTCACATATTTTGTAGATTTCTCTTTGCATGTTTTTGCAGTGGTCAGTTTGATTGATTTGACCTTTTTATAATGTCATCGACATCTATTTGGGTAAAGTTGATGCTGGTTTTCATTTCTTGTACTTCCCTGGTAAAACTGTCAAGTGGTGAGTTTGTTGAGTCTACTATCATCTTGACAAATCCTTGAAAATTTTCCTGTTGCTGTTGCAAGAGCGCCGTAAAATGCTCTGTTTGTTGCTGGAGTAGTTCATTTACTTGCGTGACGGTCAAGAGTTCTTCATCCTGCTTTGTGTCTTGCTTCTGTTTGGGTGGCACATTGTCGTGTTACTAGCCGTTCGTATGCTAGTTGATGACGTGTCCAGTGGGCTTGCCGCTCACCCGGATGTTGCTGACATGACAAGTGGGTTTGCCGCTGCCCCGGCCGGGCAATACTGCCACTGTAGTCGAGTGAGTGCTGACCCCGCTGCTGCCGACTTCACTGTTCGGCTTGGTGTTTTTTTTTCCACTGGTGGTTCCAGCTGATCCTGAAAGATATAGACCAAATGACGGGTCACGTTGGATGCAGTTCCGTACCGGCACAGCGAAGACACAAGCATTGGATCCCGCAAGCCAATTCGGCAATCAGAAGGACAATCAGCAAGTGCATTGTTTTCCGCAGGATGTCTGGAAAGGTTGCCGAACAAAAGATGGCAAACCTAACCAAAGATCGCCTCTTGCCAGTTAAACGACTTGGTCTACAATAGTCTGCCTGAACTGCTCAAGACTTTTAGCATCACTTTCTTGAGTGTCGAAACAACTGCCTTCTGGGCGTGAAACAAGCAGCACACAACTTAGATTTCCAGGTCATTTTGGAACTAGCAAACTGAAAGTCTGGGGGAAAAAAAGGTTAAGTTTAATCCTCTATTTAAATCTGTAAGAAATGTAAATTGCTTATACTTGTATACAGGTACATGCAGTGTACATATTCAGTGCTATGTTCACGTTGCAGGTCTCAATTCGTTTTTTTTTTTTTTTGGGTGGAATACATTTTTTTTGTAAGGGTTCACATTACATATTAAGTAATACATATCTATTGTCATGATTCTGTTTGTGTCCAACAGGTGGCACTGTAGGGCTCCCCCTGCAGCTGCACACCTGTTAGTCGTTATGTAATTAGTAGTATAAAAGGACTCCGCCTGACCACTCATTGTCGGGTCATTTGTTTGTTTGCTGCTGTCATGTTTGTTTGTTCTGTCAGGTTTAGATCATGTTTAGGTCATGTTTCTGTTACTATTCGTTTTGAGATTCTGCCATGGTTTTTTGTTTGATACTTGGACTTTGTTTGTTTTGGATTTAGTTTTCTCTGGTTTTTATCAATACAATTCGTCAAGTACACCCCGCTCCTCCCTCTTCCCTGCTTTTTGGGGTCCACCACCACCTCGCAACGTGACATATATCTACTAGTGATGGGTCCATGAGGCCTCATGAGGCGTGTCGAGACACTGACACACTGTGTTGATACTGTGCTGATACTGTGTCGCTGACCACTGCCACAAGATCCCTGCAGCCAACCCACCTGACAGACTGAACTGACTGATATATTTGTTTATTGAACATATAAAATACACAATACGGTAATAAATTGGCAAAAAGTTAAGGCTAAGATATAAAAAAGGAAAAGAAAATAGTCATCATCACAAATATATGTTCAAAAGAGTAGAAAGAAGGAAAAAAACTTATCGAGTCCTACCCCTTCTTATATAACATATGAATTGATCATTTTTCAATACAGAAAAGAAAGCAAAAAGTCTACATATCAACAAATGCTTTTACCCTTATGTATGCTGTACTTATCTATTTTTACAACTTTCGGTTTGTATATACATACTCATTGTAGCACATTTATATGTCGATTTTCTCATATTCATAATGGATGCTACATTTCATTAATATATTTAATAATTTCATCAGTGTAATTCTGATGTATTGCTAAATTTCATAAGTGGATCAAAATTATCATCTTAATTCTGATTTGTGTAGTTTTCTTGTACTACTCTCGAATTCATTTATGAACTCAGCAAGAGAGTTACTCATTTTGAGGTCCGTTTCAGAATTATTCCACAGATTTACACCTATTACAGATACACTCCTTTGCTTGATGTTTGTTCGTGTTTTGGATTTTTTGTATAGGTTAGTACCCCTTAAATTATGACAACTTTCTCAAATTTCAGAAAGCTTCTGGATGTTTTGGCAAATGAGGTTATTGTGTGCTTTGTACATTAATTGGGCGATTTTGAAGTCAACCAGGTCATAAAATTTCATTGTTTAATTTGATAAACAGTGCATTCGTGGGGTCCGTCTGTTTGGAGCCAGTGATTATTCTGATTGCTTTTTATTGTAGTTTTAAAACGGGGAGTGTGTTTGTTTTACTGGCATTTCCCCATATTTCCACACAATAGGTCAAATATGGAAGAGTAAGAGTATAATGTATACAAGGATCTCTTATTCAGCACATCCTTAGTTTTATGGAGGATCCCTAGGGTTTGGGATATTTTTCTTTTAACATTATCTATATGTGGCTTCCAGCATAGTTTTGCATCTATTACTGTTCCAAGCAATTTTCATAAGCTCATTCATCGATTCGATTTGATGATGAAGTGTATACAATATCATTCACATCCATGCATTCATATTGCAACATTCAATGTGTTTCAATAATGTGAAAATCATGTGAATGAGGATGCTTGTGGGCTTTGACTTCACAAAATTTTATTTAGAAAAATATGATGCTCCAATGTTTTAAATTTCAGTCTGTTGCGTTTTTTACAAGCAATTTCCCCTGCTGTGGAGAACACACGCTCACAAGGGACGGACGGATGAGGCTGGCGTACAAAGGAACTCCTTTGCAAGGTGGGAGAGGTTTGGGAAAGAAGTGTGTTGGTCCTTCCAGTACAACAGCGGGTCCCGGTCACGTGCAATATTCCCCTGTGCCAGGTATCGCTGGACCTCAGATATTGCATCTGCTGTTGCACCACCTCTTCCCAGTCTCCCCACCTCATCATCCAGATGACTCCACAGGCCACCTAAAAAACAAAACCAAACAAATTGGCATTTAGAACAGTTTCCAATAACAAATTAATAATGATGAGTAACATGCCTGATGTAGTTGCAGAGGGCTGCGATGATGGTCCAGGCTGGGCCTCGATTGTGCGCCCGATGACACGCATGCACTCAGACCGCAGTCTGGATATGGCCTCCGTGCACCTGGAGGAACTGCGGAATCCAAGTGATTTGAATCTGGGGTCTAGAAGTGTTGCTAAGGTTAACACACTCATAGACTCCAAACTGGAAGCAGTGTCTGTGACTCGACGCTTGAGGTGTTCGTGGAGTTGTATGACTGGTTGTGTGTGCAAGATTGAAGCGTGGCACTCAAGTGCATGAAAAAGCATTTTCATCATCGGGATGACCTTTGAACCTGAGACTTGCCTCTCTTCAGACAACTCCACTGTAGCTTGATGGAATGGAGAAAGCTCTAGTAGTGCTTCTCCAATGATGGTGAACTCATCAGCTGTCAGTGGAGCCAAATCTGTCTTTAGGGAGGCCAGAGATACCCACACTGGTTCCCTCTCACCATGCAGCCTTGACAGCATTTCATAGGTACTGTTCCAGCATGTTGGCACCTCATTGATGAGTTTCAGGGTTGAACGTCCCATCTGTTGCTGCACCTGAGCAAGCTTCTCCTTGGCTGTAGTGCTTGAACGGAAAAATGTGACAATGTGCCGAGCTTTGTTCCTAATGTCTGTAAGTGCAGGGACCTGATTGCATGATTTTGTAACTAATAAATTAAGACTGTGTGCAATGCAAATTGAATGGCGTATTTGGAGGTGTCTAGTGGATTCGATCATGTTTGGTGCTGCGTCAGTCACAAGACACTTTGTTGGTTATGGCCCAGTCCTCCATCATGCCCCTTTTGACCTGAGCCAAATTGTCAGCAGTGTGATTCTGTGGAAAATGTTGTGCTCCCAACACTGATGAACACAACTGCATATGAGTGTGTTGAGTGCCAAGTAGGCCTCCATGTTCACAGAGGTCCACATGTCAGTTGTTATACTCACTGCCACAGCTTGCTGTACTTCCGTTTTCACTTTTTCCCGTTCCTCCTTGTATTTGTCGGCCACCATTTTCTTGATGGTCTGAAAATTAAACCAAAAGCAAACATTATATGCGATTCATCTACTACTTTATGGAACTTTCACACAGACCTTTCTTGTCGGCAAAACATGAGGGTTCAAGGACCTGAATCAGTTCCTTGAACCCTTCACTCTCCACAATGCTGAGGGGCTGGCAGTCCTTGATAATGAAGTTCAGCAGTGCCTGATCAACCAGCTGCTTCCTGGAAGCTTGATTGTCAAACATGGAGTGGAGAGTCAACCAATAGTAATTACTGATTGCCAATTAATCATCAACATAGCAACCGTGAAAAGATAAGTGAACGTTTGTATACCTGGCGTAATACTGGGTGTATCGCGAACTTCATTCTCATGCTTGGCCCGATAATGCCTCAGCATGGTGGAGGTGCTTTTGTTGGCATATGACAATTCGACCCGGCAAATTCGACATTTCACCTGCAATGAAATGTGAATAATAAGTAACTAAGAGTTACCTTGAAATGAATTTGAATTAGAATGGTACAACACATGTCAATAATCTGAGAGGCACTTGGTGACAGAAGGAGATTTGAATAAATAAATAATACCTTATTCTCCAGTAGTTCAAAATGGTCCCACACGGTAGATGATTTGCGTCTCTGCTCCATAATTGGCAAGGCACGAAGTCTGTGCCATGAACTTCGACAAGCGAGCGAGAGTGAGGTCTGCCTTGTTTCGGCAGGTGGCATCGTGTCGCTAGACGCACTTCCTTATAAACACTGTGTGGCGGGCTTTTGCTGCGTCAACGCCCCCTGAACTGAGTCGATGCCCCCTGGACTGAGTGGCGCAGCCTGGACTGTGTCGACACAGCCGATGCAGTCTAGACTGCGCCGGTGCAGTTCACGTGTCGATCACGTGATGCAATGAAGCAGCACACGCACCGACACGTGGATTGCTCTGTGAGCCCGATGCATGCGTCAAGGCATCGGTGTCGCTGGACCCATCAGATAGATAGTATCTACCATTAAGCAAACCTGGTTTTGAATATTCTCTTCTGATTTCTATCCAGCCTGGACGTAACTTGAAGTTGTTCAATCCTAAATCTCCCATAGAATGTTATGTAGAAGATGAATCACTTAAATATATCATGGCAGGCAAGTCGAGATTTAGAGCATTTTTCTGTAGGATAGCATCAAATTATGGTATCAAAAATAAAAATAATACTCTACATTCATATTTTTTTTTTAACAAATAAATTCAGAATGGTTCTGAATTTACAGTTCTTTTCTGTGCCACCATGAACATATATGGGAAGGACCCTAATGTTTTATTTGATCACAATACACACATTCTACATTTTCAGGAAGGCAATGTGCAGAACAGATTTTGAAATAAAAATGTAAAAAGTCATAAACATACCCGATGATTGTGGCAATGATGGTGACATAGAAGGAGTCCGATCCGATCCTGGGCAGTGGGCCCCCGTCAGGGACTTGCCCCCCCTCCCGGGTCCCACACCCGGCACGAGTCTCGCTGGTGCCTTGCGAGGTTCCCCGCCAACAGTTCCTTCCCACATCTCCCGCAAGCCACCCTTCTCCCCCCACGACCCCCCTCCCTGATTGCTCTTCGTCCTCCCCCGGCTCCCCTTCCACGCGTCACGCCCGCTTCGTCCCCCCTCCCTCCTCCCCTCCCTTGCCCATTCTCTCTTTCCACTCGTTCACACCCTCTCACGTGTCTGGCATAATTTGCTTTTGTGACCCATCTTTCACACCCTCCACACTGCCTCCTCTCTCCCTTCTCCTCATACGCTCCTCCCGTGCAGCTCCTTCGGTGACTTATCATATTCCCTTTTGACCCAAACATCCTCCCACATTTCCCACACTCAAACTTCACCTGTTCGTCATTCCTGCGGTGCATCCGCTTTCCGTGCATGGTTAGACCTGCTCTACTCCTGCACACTTTTCCGCACCCCTCATACCTACATTCCAACCCATCATTCACTCTCCTAACATTCCTCTCCAGTTTTTCTTCATTCATTCCCGCCTCATATCTGTGACCCTTCTGATTTTCCCATTTATACAGGTGATCCATACGCTCACTCACTCTCCTCTTCCATCCTTCTCTGTCACTTGTTAGTCTCTCTACCTCCGTCCAATCCATCCCTGCATTCCTCATTACTCTCTTCCAGTATAATACCGTCTTCCTTTTACGTCCCATCATCTTTCCTCGTCCTTCCAATTCCTCCCACCATCCTAATACCATTGCTTTTGTTATTCTTTCATTCCCCATGCGCATCACATGTCCGATCCTTTG